GGATGTTAATGCTTTTTGCAGCACCCATCCTGGCCTAACTCTCTGGTGTAGTGGCTGTAGCTCCATTGACTTTGGTATTGTTCCATTATTCGGGGGGGCAGGGGCAAGGTGGGGGTGGGGACAGTTCCATGCTTTTGGAAGGGGTGGGGCCTCAGTCAGAAGGAGTGGGGCGGAGGAAGCCAGTCCTCAGCACCGCTTGGAGTGTGCTGCGCACCCTCACACTCCTCTTCCCTCCATCCCAGCTCTTAGAGTTGTTCAGTGCCTGAGCGCGCATGACGCTCCAGCAGTGATTTTAAAGGAGCTGTGGCTGGGAGCCATGGCCCTTTTGAATTGATGAGTCCTAGGGCAACAACCTCTTGTGCCCTTGTTTCTTAAACTGTGTGCTGTGGAGAACTCAGAGGTGTGCTGTGACTGTTTGAGGAAAAATAATGGCCGCTGAGATGCAGTGGGTGGACGAGGTGAGCCAGTGGTGATGCAGCAGTGACATGGTAGGAAATGAGGCGGGGCTATTTGCATTCTTCATGTGCTTCTGCGCCCAGCTTGCAATCGCCTGGGAAAGCCCTGTGCCAGAGGGGAGGAGCGTTGCAGGGCCAGCTCTGATTGGCTGTCTCTGCTGCTGGTCTGGGGATCCTGCCTGCCAGGGGAGAGAACTGCCCTACAGCTGCCACTCCAAGCCATCTTTGCACCGCTGCCTTTAGCCCTCACTTGTTTCCCTCAGCTGTTCTGGGTGGCCAGATACAATGTTGCTCCTTTGCTGGACAACTTTTTTTTTTATTTAATGGATAGAGATTGACAGATTATATTTGGGATACTTAGATTAAAAAAGATGTTCCACTTTTCAGTTAAAAAGATACTTAAATATCATTGGGCAGTGAGTGAATATTGTTGTCAATAAAAGTGTTGTCTGGTGTTCAAAGGGCAAGGTGTGGGGGTGGGGGGGAAGGTTGGTTGGTTGGTTTTTTGCTCAGCCAAAAACTCCTAGTGTTCCTCATTAAAATATATATTGTTTGGTGTTCCTCCATCTTAAAGTTTAAGAAACACTGCCCTATACCCTCCCCCATCAGTGGACCTGCTTCTTGTTTACATGAGCAGAGAATCTGTCTCAAAGTGTGTGCGTGTGTCCCAGAGCCTGCATCAACCAGAACTTGGCCCTGTGTATGTAATCTACTAATATACAACAGAGCCTGCTGCTTATCTAATGCATGTTAACTAACATTTTGTTTTTTAGCTTATCCATGGGGTGGAATTATACCAATGTTAGGCAAGCTATAAGGCCTGACTTAACTTGTGCCATTGCCAATTCTGCAATAGTAGGCTTCCACCACAATTTTGACAGAGGAATCCCAGCCTGGTGCAAGGCTGATGGGGAAGTGGAGGGGAGGACCTGCTATCGGCCCCGGCGACCTGCTATCGGCCCCGGCTACCCGCTTTCAGTCCAGGCAGCTGAGAGCAGAAAATTTCAGAAAAGTAATAGACTCTATTACCTCAAATAATAAGGCCCATTATTACTTTTCCATGATTTTTCTTGGCTTGTCTGCAGCTCAGCAGCAATTTTTTTGACAATCCTACTGCAATATGAGTGGGGCCTCAGAGAGTGTAAATTTTTTTAAAGCAGTAGCATGATGATGGTATAGCTCTCAATACAGGTGCATTTATTCTGGTATAAGAGTGTCCTTTTCCTGACTAGTTTATGTCCCTTTAGAAGGAGTTCGTTAAAATGAGAGAGTCACTTTCAAAGCAAAACAATAGTGTTGCCAAGGCCGGTTACACCAAGGGTGTGTCTACACTGGGCCACTTATTCCGGAGAATCAGCCGCTTTTCCGGAATAAGCCGCGAGCTGTCTACACTGGCCCTTGAATTTCCGGAAAAGCAACGATGCTGTACTGTACAAAATCAGCCGCTATTCCGGAAACCGTACGATGCTCCCGCTCGGGCATAAGTCCTTTTTCCGGAAAAGCTTTTCCGGAAAAGGGCCAGTGTAGACAGCTTTTCCGGAAAAGCAGAAGAAACGTAAAAAAGCGGTTTGGACGGCGGGAGACCCCGTAGAAGCCACGGACTTCCGCATTACCCGAGGGCTTAAAGAGCAAAGTCCTTTTTCCGGAAAAGCTTTTCTGGAAAAGGGCCAGTGTAGACAGCTTTTCCGGAAAAGCAGAAGAAACGTAAAAAAGCGGTTTGGACGGCGGGAGACCCCGTAGAAGCCACGGACTTCCGCATTACCCGAGGGCTTAAAGAGCACGCACACTACTGGCCGCACGTGGCAGGAGGCCCCCAGAGACCTCCCTTCCCAGCTCTGCGACGTGGCAAGTGTGCTGCCCAGCCACCTCAGCGGAGGCATGGCAGCTCGAGGTGGTCAGCCACCGTCACCCGGGGCAGAGGAGGAAGCCCCCAGGGGCCGGAAGCGCAGGGCCCCATCCTGGACCCCCAGGGAGCTGGAGGCCCTCCTGGACCTGTGGGAGGAGGAGGAGGGTCTCCATGACCTCCAGTCCCGCCGCCGGAATGCTGAGCTGTACACCCGGATGGCCCGGAACCTCGCCCAGCAAGGGCACCCCAGCCGCAACTGCGAGCAGGTCCGCTCGAAGGTTAAGGAGTTGCGGCTGGGGTACGTGCGGGCCACGGAGGGGAGGGGAGCAGGGCCTGATGCCTGCCCCTATTTTGAGCGGCTGAACTCATTTTTGGGCGAGCCAGCCCCGCAAGGCCCAGCTGTCCCCGTTGACACCTGCCAGCACCCCCCGATCATTCGTCCCACCGAACCGGAGGAGGAAGACGAGAGCGGCGGCGCTTCGGGAGAGGAGGCCAGCGTTGCCACCCAGCAGGCCCCCTCCAGCAGCTCCTCTGTGGCCGGGGAGGAACCCACTGGTGAGTCTTTGAAGGTTACACTCCCAAAGGGCGGGGGGCGGAGGGCGGGGGGGAGCGAGACCCAAGTGTCCGGAGGGGGGAAGGGGAGAGCATGTCACTCAGGCCACGTGAGCTGCACGCTGCATAGCATGCGGCAGTTAGCAGCACGTGCAACCACGTGCAGCCTGGTGACTGAGCGGCAGGTGGCCGTGG